ACCTGGAGTTACCATGTGACCCGGCAGTTCTACCCAAGAGATATGAAAACATATGTCCACATAAAACTTGTACACAAATGTTCGCAGCAGCATTATTCATAAGAGCCAAGAAGTGGGAATGAATCAGACATCTATCAACTGATAAATGGATCAATAAAATGAGTTCTATTCATACAATAGAATATTATCTGGCAATAAAAAGGAATGGAGTCCTGACCTCTGCCACTACACGGATGAATCTCAAGAACATTACGTTAAAGCAAAAGAAGCCGGAGGCAGTGGACTCCACATTTATGATTCCATTTCTATAAAATGTCTAGAGTAGGGGAGTCCATAGAGCCAGAAAAGAGCTTCGTGCTGCCTAGGGTGGGGGAAGTGGGAATTGGGAAATGCCTGCTGATGTAGGAAGCTTCTTTTTGGAGTTATGAATATATTCTACATCCAGATAGTGGCAATGGTCGAATAACTGAAAACACTAAAAACCATTGATTTATGCACTTTAAATGGGTGAATTATATGTAGATTACATCTAATTCAAGTTGCTATACTTAAAAATAGCCTCAGTAGAAATAAAAGACAAGTGAAAACAAGGAAAGGAACACAGAATCCAGAGAAGTCCCCCTGCTCCTCCAGGTGCAGGACCTGATCTGGGGACTGTGGCTGAGTTCCCACGCGGGCCTCCTCTGGGCTGCCCCACTGCTGCCTTGTCCTGCGTGTGCCTCTGGGTGAGGGGAGGTCTGATTACAGCTATGGATTAGATAATGACTAGGGGAGGCAATTAATTCCCATCCTAAAGTGTTTTGAAGCTTCTGATTTAAAATGTGGAGAGAACTGCAATGAGAATCCATGTTCCATTGTTTTCATCCAGTGAACATTTAATGAGTGCCCCCTGTGTTCTGGGCCTCTCCTCCTCCCTGGGGGACAAGGGAGGCGCCTGCCCTCCCCGAGGCCTTCCCATGGCTGAGGTCTGGCAGGGGACAGAGCGCACTCTGCATGGGCCGTTTAGAAGCTGTTGGGGGGATGATCCCCAGCCCCCAGGCTCCTGTCAAAGGTGGGCACAGAAGGCCAGGTTTCAGAGCCTAGAGGGCGGGAGGCAAGGAGGAACAGAGGGATAGCCCCTGGCACCTGGACTCGGCCAGCCCAGAGGCCAGCAGAGGAGCACGGGAACAGATACCTGATTCCCTCCCTCCTGAACCTGACCCGGGGTCCCCTCCCCAGGTGAACACAATGGGAAGCCAGGGGCAGGGGAGCCCATGGACATGGCCCCTATAGGTCAACCTGCCAGGACCGGGCCCTGACGGGCAGAGGTGGGGTGGATCTGGAGTGGTGGCCACACACACAGAAAACAGAGGCAGAATGCTCAACGTGACGAAGGGGACTCTTCTCAGCCCGACGCTGGAGGTCTTGAGGGCCTGAGGAGGAGCAGACCCAGGGTGACACTGCCTGGACAGGTGGAGGTCAACGTGAGGTCAGTGGTCCTTGCAGGGCTGCTCCGGCCAAGTGTGGGCAGATCCTGATGTGATCCGTGGAATGGGGCTCAGCTCACGTCCGTCACACCGCTGCTGCCTCATCTCAGCCCAGGTGGGGGCCTTTGCTCCTGCTGAGCCACATCCCTGGGCTGTCATGGCTGGTGTCTGCTGTGACCCTGTCCCTCTGATCTCTACTCACATGCTGCCCTCGCAGGGGGCCCTGGTCACCACCCTACACCAGGCCCTGGGAGATACTCCTGGCCCCCCCCCCCCACTCTCCCCCATGGCACACTGTCAACCAGGTGCTGCACTAAAGGACTAAGGCGACCTGTGTCATTGTCACCCCCATTTTGAAATGGAAGAAAGGACTAAAACTCTTGCCCAAGGCCACACAGCCCTGAGTTGCAGACAGCAATTTTTAAGCCAATGTTCTCTAGGTTTGTCACCCGGAGTTCTGTGTCCTCTTTAAAGTCACTGGGGACCCCAAACAGTTTGAGTTCATGTGGTCAGTATCTATCCATTTATCTGAAGTAGGAGTTAAATGAAGAAAAATGAGGATATTAATTTATTGGCTCACTTAAAATAAAGCAGTGAACTTATTGCTATTAATCATAAGCAGGTTAAAATTTTATGTAAGTTGAAAAAAGGCTTTTTATCAAAAATAATAATATTTTTGTTCAAACATCATGAGACGTCTGGCACTGTGTGACAATTCTACACACCTCTTTAATGTCTGGATCACAGAAATAACTGAGTTCTCATATCTGCCTCTTCCTGCACTCTGTAGCAGTGGTTTCCTGGGTTGAATTATATGAAGAAAATCAGCGCACACATATGTAGTTGGAAGAGGAAGGATAGTGCGACTGTCTTTTCAGGAAATTTTGGATATTCTTATTTCATACTACACCAAAATTCGATAAGGGGTGTTTTCTTTTCCTAATTTTTTTGGTGGTAAAAAGCAGTTCACATGAAATGGGCCTTTGTAACCCCTGTTAGGGTGCTAGGCAACCCCTCCCCATCCATCCAGTGCTTTCTCCTCGTATGACTGAAACTGTCTCCATGAAGCACTGAGCCCTTCCTCTCCCACCCAGCCCAGGCGACCACCACTCTCCTCCTATCTCCACAGTGCTGACCACTCTAAGGACCTTGCGTAAGTGGAATTGTACAGTACGGGTCTTTTGGAGATTGGCTTATTTCACTTGGCATAAAGTGACAAGCGGTATCTTGTGAAGATACATTAGTGACACTCTCTTAATTTGTTACCTTAAAACCCATTGGTAGATCTGACACTATGAATGAATCTTTTATCCATGTGTGATTTGGTAAGGCCCTGCATTGGTGATTTGGGAAATATTGATTTCCTGAGTTACGAAGATTTCCAAAATGTTGACACTTTGTATTTTACAACAAAAACAAAAATTCATGAATCTTTCCGAACTCATCAGAAAAGTCCCTAATTACTAAGAAGCTGTCAGGCTCCAGGAAGTGTACATGAAGTTTCAAAATTCTAATTTTACTTGAAAGTTCAAATTGGATCACTGACAACTAAGAGTATCAGACGTTTTCTTTAATGTCAGGCTCACTTTTATTTGTTTTGGGAAACATGTCGGCCAGACACCCAGGTCTGATGCCCGGGGTCTGTCTGCCCCCCTTCTCCCACAGCGGAGTGACAGTCCATGAAAATGGGAGCTAGTTAGGGCTGTAGCTCATCAGAGAACCATTCCACAAGAGTTTTTCATCAAAGAAGTCAGTGTGCTGCGACCTGCGTGAACTTTCCGTTTCGTCACCCGGGAGTGAGATGGCGAGGACTCAAGGGTAGCTGTGGAATAAAATCTAACAATTTTTCTTGCATCATCAGGAATACTGTTGAGTGAAGTTGGCAGTTTTTCTTTTGTTTTATGTTGAGTGTGTGGTGGTAAAGAGCACAATGACCACTAGAGACTGGGGTGCCACTGCCTGGAGTCCTGGTAAAGGGTCAGGCCTTACCCGCCATCACCTTACCTATCAGTGCAGACATCAGCTGGGTGGGGCAGAGCACACCTTGATAATGTCCACCCTGTGGAGTCCTTAAGGGTCAAGGGCGCCACAGCTGAAATGTGTCCCCCAGAGTTTATGTGTTGGATCCTTGATCTCCAGCAGCAGTTGGGAGGGCCCTCGGGAGTGGACAGGTGTCACTGTGGTGGGAGTGGGTCCCCCCGCTGCCTTGCTCTGTCCTGCTTATTGCCCTTCCCTCTCCACCATGGGCTGATGCAGTGGGAAAGCCCTTGCTAGAGGCCTGCACCTTGATGTTGAACTTCCTGACCTCCAAAACTGCAAGAAGCAAATTTCTTTTCTTTATGAATTGCCCGGTCAGTGGTATTCTGTCACAGCAACACAAAACAGACTAAGACAGAAATACGATACAGGGAAATGAGGTTGCTCCAACAGATACCTGACCATGTGGAAGTGTCTTTGCAATTGGGTAATGGGTAGAGGTGGACAAATTTGAAGGGACAGCTAGGAAAAGCCTAGATTGACCTGAATGGAGAACTAAAGGTGATTCTGAAAGTCTGATACTTCAGCAATCCCTTCAGTGGTTGTGATCAGAATTTTGGAAATATGGAGCGGAAAGGGCATTCCAATGAGGTTTAAACAGAAATGAGGAACAAGGCATGGGACATGGGAGTGAAGGCCGTTCTTATTATACAATTGCCAAGAACCCAACAAACCACGTCCTGGGCCCTGCACTGTGGAAGGTAGATTTCAAGAGTGATGGACTAGGATGTCTGGTGGAAAGAGTTTCTAAGGAAAACCCTGAGGAGTTGTGCGACTGCTTCAGACTGTACACAGTAAGATACAAAAGTAGCGGAATGACTCAAGGTTGGGATTTATAATTAAGAGACGCAGAACAGAAAGACTGGAACATTTGTAGCCTGACCATGTAAAGAATGAGAAGATTTGTAGTAGAACAAACCCAGGGGGTGCTGAGGAGGTTGGCCCAGGCAGGAGGGAGCCGGGATGGAAGGCGAGACACCTCTCGGGAAGTTCAGAGAGCTTCAGGGCTGTGCTCCAGAGCCTGAGGAGGCTGTCACTCCCGAGGACCAGCGCTGACCGTGGTGCCATGGCAGTGGGCCACAACTGTTTTCTCCCACCGGGTTGCAACATCAAAATGATTTATTATACAAACTGTAATCTACATGGGTGACATTATTCATCTTTGAAAAAAATTTTTGTTTGCTCTTTTTAGTTATACATGATAGTAGAATGTGTATTGACACTTGTACACACATGGAGTGTGACTTCCCATTCTGTGGTTGTAGGAAATGTGGGCTACATGGGTCCTGGATTCACATATGAACACAGGATAGTGTGTCCAATCCATTCTACTGTCTGTCCCATTCCCACCCCCGTCCCTTCCCCTCCTTCCCCTTGGTCTAATCCAGTGAACTTGTATTTTCCCCACTCCCCTCACTGTGGGTTAGCATCCACACATCAGAGAGAACATTCGGCCTTTGGTTTTGGGGGTTGGCTTACTTCACTTAGCAGGAAAGTAAAAATATGGAAACTTCACGAAGGTGTGTCATCCTCATGCAGGGGCCTTGCTAATGTTCTCTGTGTCATTCCAATTCTAGTCTATGTTCTGCCAAAGCGAGCTCTGTCACTCATCTGCTTAATGTTTCACACCTCAAAGGGCACGATCACACTTGCAGTCACAACAGTTATTCTGCTGGGTAGAAAATTGCTCACACACTGTGGCTGAACTCTTGAGCACGCCTGAGTCCCCAGGACACAAAATGCTGGGACATCAGCTGCGTGGTCTCTGAACTGCGTGGCGGATGAGCTCTTCGTCCACTTAATTTCAAGGTTACCAATTTGGGTCTCCCTCTCCTTCAATTTATGGGTGGGATTTCTGAATTTTAAGATCACATTTTGGTCTTTCTGAGTGCTCAAATCCAATTCCTGTTGGTTACCTTCAGGTCTTCCTCTGGACCCTCTCTCTGGCCTCTTGATCAGTGAGGAGCTGCCTTTCCCAGACCTCTGGTTGCTTCTCCACTCTGGTGTGCTGATTTTCAAATCCAAGGCTCTTGTTGAGCCTCCAGTCTGGGGTGCCAGAGGCGGTGGTGCCAGGTGCCAGCCCTGCTGGGGGCGGCTCAGCACCTCTATCTCTCAGCACAGGTGCCCTGCAGGCCCCAGCAGGACACCTCAGAGCGCACCCTTCTCCTTGGCTTCATGCGATGGTCAGCACCTTCTCCAGGGCTGAAGGTGGGGGGATTCACCCATCTTTCCCCCTCTTCTTCATGTCTTCCCTGGTCTACTTATATAGGCTCCTCCTCCTCAGGGCTCTACACGGACAGTTCCTCTCCACCAGTCCTGGGGAACTCACTCTGCAGCCTGCAGGGTTTTGGTCTGCAGCTCCCCGCAGGCCCAGATTGGTGCCTCTCAGCTGAGGGCCCTGAGCTAGCACTGGGACCAGCTTCACGTGGTCTTCGGCTTGTCACCCTGAAGCGTGTGCTCCTTGGAGGGTGGAAATCACTCGTATTCATGACTTTTGGTCCAACTCTGGCTCTCCTTAGAATCTAAGAAGCCGTTTTCAGAGTGAAGTTTTGTTTCTCTCCTCACAGGGCTAGAAGTGACCGTTAGGTGACTTGTGTGACTGAAGACACAGAGGACGTGTTTGTCTGAATTGGAACATTCTCAGTGAGGATTGAGTTCTGGGAGTGAGTGATCTGTGTGGTGGTAGTTATCTTCTGCAGCTAGTTACAGCTGTTCCCTGAGACTTCCTCGTGTGGCACCCATTCGAAAGTGCAGGGGGAGTGAAATGCCTACATTCCATGCAGGGGCTCGGGGCCCAATTCCCATTAGTGGAAAAGTGCTCTATCGTGAACACGGCCGTATCTCACTTGATTAAACTGTCAGCTCTTATTAAAACAGATCCATGAGGCTACAGACATTCAAGCTTGGTGTAGCTCGTAGGAAAGTATTGGTAAATTGTTACCCCAGTAAGATCTGCGCCTATTAGCAGAGCTTCAGCTTGTCTGACCCTTAGGATGTTGAGAAAAGTGGTAAAAAACAACGTCTGTGACTTCCTAGGGGAAAAATTCCCCTCCAGTTTGGTGGTGGTCTGGGGCGGGGAAGACCCAGTGCCCAAGTGTGCGATTCTGGGTCCCTGGGTCATCTTCTAGTGTGCAGGAGCTCGAGCAATTTCCACTCTATCTTTTGGAAAAGCACATTCATATGGGATCGTATTTTTTTCCCTTCAACTAAAGATCAAGTCTGAGAAAGAAATTGAGGAGCCAAGATAGGCAAACTATTCAGACAAAAACACGGGAGGAATTACCCGGGGGGGGGGGCCCTGGCTCCCTCCCTTCCTTGTCTGGAACGTGGCTCAGGAGAGGGCTCTCAGGTAATGCTCGGGAGACGCAGAAGTTCCAAGGGCCAGTCGGGCAGAAGGTCAGGCTCAGGTGGCCACCAGAGGATTCGTGGCCACATGATTTCTCCAAATCTGTGCTTCTGGAGGAGCCTGAAGGAGCTGAGCATAGAGAGAGCTGTGCCTGGGTCCTGTAGCAGCAGTGTCCCTTCTCCAGGGGGTCCAGCCCGCACCTCTCTCGCTCTGTGCCCACGCACTCTGGGTGAGCTCAGGTGTCTTCCCTGCCCTGCATCAATCTCCAAAGTCAAGTTGTCTTTGATGGCCGCTCCTTCGTCACCTGCACCACATCCCCCAAATCCTAACTTTCCTGCTGGTTCAGCAACACCCCTGGGAGGGCTGTTAGGCCTGGAAGTTATGTAAGACCCCTTCCCTAGACACAAAGGGTTGATACATCTAAGAGTGACAGGGAGTTGGGCTGTTTTCAGCGCTGTGTGTTCGGACACACTCTGTCTCCCCGCTGGCCTGGGAGCCAAGGGCAACCGTTAGCCCCTTTCCTAGGAAACTGAGGCCTGGGGGACTTGAGCAGCTCACCAGCTTACTATTCACCTACGACATGGGACTACCTGGGTGGCTTCCAGTTCTCACCTCCAGGATGGAGCCCTCCGCAACTGCCCTCTCCTCCCACCTCTGTCTCTCTGCCTCCCAGCTCCATCTCACACACACAGACACACACACAGACACACACACTCACACACACACACACTCAGGCCCTCTCTTCTGTCTTGTCATTCTGTGGAACTGCATCACCCATATTCCCATCACCCATGTGTTTTTCTGGTATTTGGAAACTACCCTCTAGGGATATATTTCAGCAACAGGGTGAATAGATATCACTATTCTTCATCAAGGCAGAGACCCGCCCCCCTGCCTCATTATTTCTCTTTGTGGAACTAAGGACAACCAAGACCCCGCAAGCTAGCTGTGACACACTGCCACTCAGAAGGCCCATCTTGCTGTTAAGTTCAGTTGCGTCTACCAGGAGACGTATGCACTTCCAGATGGCATTTCAAACACTTTTGTTGATGTGGGCTCTGTGCAGGCGAGGAAAGCAGACCCTGCTCTGAGTGTCCCTGGGCACGCACGGCTCTCATCTAAGGGCTGGTGCTCTGGGCCCTGAGGTGTTCCCAGAGGACTGCTTAGCTGTTGAGATCCAGGCTGAGCCCCTTCCCAGCTGGGTGATCTTGGGGTCTCAGTGAATCTCCCCTCTCCCTGTGGGAGTGAGGTAAGGTTTCCTTGGATGCTCAGAGCAATAGCACCCCCGCCCCCCCATTGCCAGCATCAGTGACTAGAACCCTGTCCCTAGACTCACAGTGGCTCTGTTGGGACGGCTTCCCCTGGTTAAGGGAAGAATTTCCTGGTGGCACCCAGCACCCCAACTGTAGCTCACAGCCCAGGAAGAGGTGTTCAGATCACACCACGTCTCTGTTTGGAGACGGGATTGTTCAGAAGGGCTCGCACTGAGGAATGAGCAGAGGGTTGAGGAACCCTCTTCCTGGAGCTGGATCCCGGGCCCCCTTGGGAGGTGCTGGTTTCAAGAGGACCCTCCCACAGCAGGTGGAGAGTGGCTGCTTGAACGTCCCCGCCCTTTCCTAGTGAGGCTCTGGCCTGGCAGTGGTCAACCTCCAAGCCCTGGGCCGCATTTGGAGTTGAGTCAGCAGTAGATGAGCCAGTGGTCAGGGCAGAGCCTCCCTAGCACACCAGCAAGCACAAGGAATGCCACACCCACGGTGACAGGCCATGTGACCTCAGCATCCTGGGTCTCAGCCTTGATCCATCATTCCAGGAAGGCGACTTGGGGTTCTTTGGGGTCCAGGCTAGAGAGTGAGCGTGGGGGCAACCTTTGAGCAAGAGACCTCATCTGATACCTGAATTTTGGGGTGTCACCAGAGAAGTCACCTTATTCAAGTAAAGTAATTTAAGCCAGGTAAGTCGAGCGCGATAATCGGTGCTTAAGTACCAAAAACAAACAGAGGCTGGAAAAGTGGTTGTTTGAGGTGAAGCATCACATAAGACGCTCCGGGAAAGATTAAGACCAAGACGACACAGTCCTGTCCCTGGTGTCCCTCAATCAAAGTAAAGCTGCCCTCACTCAAACCTGTGCCTGAGGAGACCCCACACATGCGCACCTGGGGAAACACCCACCACATACACACTCATGCCTGCACGGGCATGCAAACACACACACATGCGAGGGTGCAGGCATGTATACACACACAATCCTGAGGAAACTCACACACATATACACACATGTCCGGGGAAACGCAGCCTCTGTCTCTCTGCCTCCCAGCTCCATCTCACACACACACACACTGTCTCAGGCCCTCTCTTCTGTCTTATCATTCTGTGGAATATACTTGCATACACATACACGTGCACACACATGCCCAGATGCCTGAGGGCACACACACGCATGTGCACACACACATTCCGTCTTGGTCTGTAGTGCAATCAGAAGTTTCCATCTGAGCGGAGACGGCGTGGTATCTTCAGTTCAGTTTGAAAGAGCCCTGGCTCCTGGGGCGGGGCTGGGGCCGCTCCTCTGTGTCGCTTGTGGTTGGCTTCCCTTGCTCAGCCGTGGGTTACCCTGACCTTCTCACAGCCTGTGTTTGTCCCTGAGACCCTCCTCTCTGCACACAGCAAGGCTTCTGCACATGGCAGGTGCAGGGACGTTGCCATCTGACTGGCCAAGAGAGCACATGGCACCCTTGCCCTGGAGGCTTTCTGTAGCCTCTCCCGGCAGCCAGACCTGCGCAGCCTGGGCAGCGGGGCTCAGCTGCTGCCCCAGCCCATGGGCCACCTGGAGACCTCTTGGCCAAGCACCACCTGCACACACGCACGCACACGCATGCACAGGAGCCTGTCCACTTTACTGAACCCTCTCTGCCTAAGTCATTTAACTGCAGTGGCCTACAATAAAATTCTTGAGAGAAAGATATCTACATCTTAGAACTTACAGTGTGCTAGGAAGGACAGCGACTGACGAAGTGGAGGGAAGGGCAGGGCTTGCTCGCCTCCTTCTGGCTTCACAGGGTCAAAGGTGGTCTCCTACCAACCCAGTGAGTGCCTTCCTGCAGGAGACCAAAAACCAAACGCCACCCACCAAACTCTCTTCCCTTCCCTTAGTGAAATAGTGTTTGCTGCGTAATGAGAGGAGGAAGCACTTTAATTAATATTAACAATTGTCAGGGATTAGTGTCCAAATCCCCTGTTACCAATTTGTCTAATA